TGCTCAGGAATCCAAAGAGGAACCTCATTGTCCTGAGGGAAGACATAAACCAAACTCCGGGGCCACACCAACACTAGATTGGGTCTCCTCCACGTGCTAGTAGAAAGAGCCTTCCATCGCTCCAGAGGGTGATTTGCAACAGGAGCCCTCCAGTGCTTATCTGCATCAGATCCTCCAGCAGAATCCACCGATAAAAAAATTTAAAATATATAAAACAAGGGAAAGAATAGAATGTGGAGAGGAATGATGAGTCCCTAGTACTCCCTTTTTTTAACTTTAGTAAAATACATGTCAGGTGGAAATGGTGACAGTGGATATCTTTGTCTTGTACTCAGCTTGAATGGGAAAATATTTAATAGCTTGTCTGCAAGTGTAATGTCTCGAATATTATTCAGGACCAGCCTTAAAAATCTTTTCCCCAGGGGCCCAGAAGAGAAGCTATGAATGGCTTGAATTATTTTCGGGAAAAGAATCTAAGTACACTGAGCTCTTTCATCTGTCTACTTAATTCCTCTGGGATAAAATTCTATCTACATAGCTTCAGTTCTGTTCTCATGCCTAGCTCCTTTTTTGCCTGATTTCTCTCTACATTTATCTGCTGACTCCTCTAAATTCTATCTTAATTCTCTCATCTTAGTTCTGCCCCATCTTGGTCTTTCTCATCTCATTCTTACCCATCTGGCTCTTCCTTATCTTCCATCCCATTCTTCTAGTTCTCTAGTCCAAATCCTCTCCATTCCAAATCCTCCTCAAATCTCTGAGGTTTACAGTTATATACCCATGCTCTAGCTACACAAGGTCACCAGGCTTGAGTTCTTACAGGGTCATAAAAACTCTTGTCTAAGAGTTTTCCTCAGGCAGTGACTGTTGGGCTTTCTTTTACAACTCAAAAGGGGAGTGACAAAGGAGGTCAACTAAGAGCTAAAATCAGTTAATATATTAGAAAAAGGGAATTTATGTGCTCAAACTACATTCCTAGAAGTGGTTAGGGAAATGTTAGGAGTCTATAAAGTTAGTATAAATACCACTAGGGTTGTATAAGAAAGGTAGGTCTGAACTTAATTTATCTTAATTCAGGAGATCATTTGGCTTGGATGCTTGATAGGTATTTCAGATAAAATACACTGTTAGTAGTTCTTGGAAGCATACATAGTATGCAAGAAAATCATTGCAGGAATCGGCTAATATATATACAAAAGCTAAAATATCACCAAGAATTCTTAAGCCATGACTTGATCTTTGGAAAAGTCCTTGACCTTTCCAAGTAGTAGCTTTTGTGATAGTAGCTGAATTCTATTACGTTTTCCTGCAGCTTGCAGAAGTACAGTTGTCACGGGGTTTTGTTTGTAGGCATGCCTACATACTTCCTTAAATTAATCAATATACTTTCTTTCTTCTTTTTTTTTTTTTAAAAGATTTATTTATTTATTATGTATACAACATGTATGACTGCAGGCCAGAAGAGGGCACCAGATCTCATTACAGATGGTTGTGAGCCACCATGTGGTTGCTGGGAATTGAACTCAGGACCTCTGGAAGAGCAGTCAGTGCTCTTAACCTCTGAGCCATCTCTCCAGCCCCATAGTCTTGACTGTTAAATGTTAAATAATTCTTGCATTGCTGGAAGATCTTCCTTGTGAACACTTGTGGTCTGGCTTCACTGTTTTGTTGGCGTGTCCTGGTTTGTGTCCTCAGAAGAGGCTGACTTGTAACCTTTCACTCTGTATATCTTTTTAAATTAGAGTGTCAAGATTTTTCTGTCCTTCTGTAGCAAGTTGACAAGTGTTTCTTTTTCTTTGTTCACTGGCAGCATTTATGTAAGTTTTTTGAAACTGTACATCAAAAGTCATTTGGGCCTGAATTTTGTTGGTGGGGGAGGCTGGGAAAGGTGCCGGGAAATCCTTGTTGTTATTTTCTCACTGTGTTCTCTCCTCCCTGCCTTAGCATGCTTGCCGTGATCCAGAAAGAGAAAAGTTTTAATGAGATATTTTCCAATTACTTCAAGGAAAATAAAACAGAGATAGCCCATGCAATCCCCAAGCTGTTTCCTTTCCTAGAAAGCCTAAAGGACCGTTCCTTCATCACCGACAAAATCTATGCTGTAAGTGACCTGTATTCATGACTCTGTGGAAACCCCGCCCCACATTAACCGGCGTTCTGCATCCTGAATGCTAGACTTCTCTAGCTGGCTAAAAAGCCTTGTGTGTTTTTATCTCTGTTAATTGTCCTATCATGTAGAAGGTAACAAGACGCTTCTGCTCCTAACTGGAAACCTTCTCTTCCCAGGCAATTGTGGGAATGGGTGAATGATAAGGCAGTGTGGCTGAACTGCAGCAGGGCTGGGGATGTAGACTGACTGCCTAGCATTTGCTCTCATAGCCACCCCCACATTTAGTACCCCTCTGTGCCACCCCCCGTACCACCCCCCATACACACAAAAAAAAGTGAAGGAAAGAAGAAATTGTGAAGGCCCACTGACGGATCGTGACTAGTGACTGACAGAGAAGCTAGATTAAGATAATGAAAGAACTAGCACGTGACCGTTGCCGGATCTAAGGTTTGTCAATTAATGCTTTTTAGGAAAACTGAGAGACAGGAATTGGTGGAGGAAAATAGGTTGATTTATAAGGAAACAGAAGCCAGGAAATATTCATATGTAGATTTAGTGGGGAGTGCAAGTTATGAGAACTGAAAAATAAGTCTTTTCTGGACTGGCCACAAGACTGCCAGCCTGGGATTTCCTGGAGAAACTGGAACCCATAGGTCCCAGGACAGTATTTCATTATGATGTCTACTGTGTCAGAGGAAACTGTGCTTTAATACTCTCTCTGTTGAACTTTTTAACAGCATTCTTACGAAGCCTACAGGAACTTGGTTCCTGTAGAGAACGTGGTGTACAATGTCCTTGATCACTTGGAGAAGTTACCTGACTGGTCATTTCTATGCACTCTGTTCAACAGAACAAACCTGGATGCATATCCTGGTTTAAGAGAGATTCATAAAAGCTTGGAAACTGGTAATTCCTTCTCTCACCTCCCTTTTGCAGTGACATTCTATCTTTAAAAAAGTATTTTGCTTATCCTTTGACAACCTCATACATGTACACAGAGTATCCAGATCTTATTGAGCCAGACCCCATTGAGTACCCCACAACCCTCCCAACATGTCCCCCACACTTTCACGTTCTTTGTTGTCATCTTTGTCTCCATCTTTTTTCTATTCCTTCTCCTCCTTATAACCTACTGAATCCAATTAGTGCTGCCCATGTGTGCGTAGGTGTGGGGCATCCAGTGAAGTATGAACAACTTGTCAGTAGCCACACCCCCAAAGGAAAATGATGCTCCCAGCAACCATGAGCAGCCAGTAGTAGCTCAGCTGTGGGTGGAGCCTCATGAGTCCCTCCCCATCAGTGCTGAAGTGCTGATTGGCTTGTTCTTGTGCAGACCTTGTACAGGTATCACAGCTGCTATGTGTTCATGATTTCGGCAGTTACATCATGTCCAGAAGACAGAGGTTCACCACACTCCTCTCCATCCTCCAGCTCTTGCATTGTTTCTGGCCTCCTTCTTCAATGTTCCCTGAGCCTTAGGGTAACGGATTGAGATAAATGTCGATACGACAACTTTATTTCCATTCATTTATTCAGTACAGCTAAATTGCTTTCTGTGTCCCATTGTCTAAACTGGGCAGTGTGCTTTGTCTCATCTGTGGGCAGCCTCTCAGGGTCTTCTTGTGAAATCTTGGAGTTTCCTTCAGGGCAGTTGTCTTCCTCCCGATTAGCTTTCAGAGCCCTTAGTGCTTGGGCCTGGGCTGCCCCTGGGGATTCCTTTGCTCTCTGCTCATCTTTCTTCTCCCAATGAAGCTCAGACTCTCCTCTTTGCTAGCCCCGTCTTTGAAGCTCTTGGGATTATATATGTAATATGTATATGGGTCTTTCTATGACCTTATTCACGCTACTCCAGAGGGAACCCCTGTTCTTCCCTGAGGTCTGTCTAGCCCACAGGAGCACTCCTTCTGTTGGAACTGAAGTAAGCTTCCACTACACTTAATTAAGCAATTAATTACTTAATTTTTTAAATGATTTTTCCCTTGTGCCATCATCCTTAGAACCTGAGAGAGGAGTTGGAGAGATGGCTCAGCAATTAAGCACATCTGCTATTCTTGCAGAGGACCTGAGTTTGGTTCCCAGCACCTACATTGGGTGGCTCACAACCACCTGTAACTCTAGCTTCAAGGGATCCAACGCCCTCTTCTGGTCTCTGCAGCTCCTGTACTCACACGCACACACTGACAAGAAGATGCACAGACATGCGCATAACTTGAAAACAAAATAAATCTAAAAATATCAAAAACAAAACTGCATGAGGTTCATTGTCTATAGCAGTGGTTCTCAATCTTCCTAATGCTTCGACCTTTTAATACAGTTTCTCATGCTGTGGTGACCCCCAACCATAAAGTTTTTTCACTGCTACTTCTTGACTGTAATTTTGCTATTGTTGGGAGTAGTGATGTAAATACCTGTGGTTTCCAATGGCCTTAGGCGATTCCTGCAAAAGGGTCATTCCACCTCCTGCGGGGGTCATGACCCACAGGTTGAGAACCACTGGTCTATAGGGTTTCATTTTTCTTTCTTCTCTTGGTTGCCTTGTAGGAAGGGAAAAACAATATCTAGACATAAGCCATTGATATCCAGAGCGACCCAAGTGCTAGAAGTTCCCACTGACATACGATAACTCACAGATGTTTCATCTGTGTGATTGTTCCCACTCAACCCCACTGCCCACGAGGTTGAGATTTGTCACTTGTCTACAGGGACTAATGATTTTCTCCCTCTGCTCAGAGCTACAGGACAAATATTTATCCCAGAGAAGTAAACACGACCAGAAACTTGCCACCATACAGCCACGCTATGAGCAAGGTACTTAGAACCGAGTGGAATTTTGGTTAGCTAAGAGGAAAAGGAGATATGGAACTGAGCTTCTTGGGTGGTGGGGTTAGTAGTGAGAGTGGGGGATGGATGGGTGGTGCTCTGCAAAGAACTCCCAAGGAATAGAAAAGGTAGATGAGTGCTACTTAAAAAAAAAAAGAAGAAGAAGAAGAAGAAGAAGCCAGGTGGTGGTGGCACACATCTTTAATCCCAGCACTCGGGAGGCAGAGGCAGGTGGATCTTTGTGAGTTTAAGGCCAGCCTGAGATCCAGGAAAGGCACAAAGCTACACAGAGAAACCCTGTCTCGAAAAACAAAACAAAACAAAAGACTTATTTATTTTATTTCATGCATATGAGTGTTTTTGCCTGGCGCCCACAGAGGTCAGCTGGGAGCCAAACCTGGGCCCCCTACAAGAGCAGCAAGTTCTTCTAACCTCTGAGCCATCACTCCAGCCCAGTGCAGCTTTGTGTGAAGTTACAAATGACCTGACCCTAACATGGTTAGGATGTGGTTGAGACACATTCTGCTCAGTCATATTGAATGCATCTGATGTTACTAGGCACCTGAAGTGGATTCTAAGAAAGAGTTCTTTGGTGGAGAGCTGTGAGGGGCTCAGAACTGTGGGTCTACACTGAACAGCATTGAAGAAGAGACATTTGCTGATAGCAAAAGCGATCAGTACATATGAATCTGGGACTAGTGCTCAAGAGTAGGGAAATATAGACATGGAGGTAGTAGAGATACAAGAACAGTGCACGGACACTTGGAGAGTCAGAAACAGGAAGAGGGAAGTGGGAATGAGAGGCGGAACAGGAAGGACAAAAGACATATAAATAAAAGGTACCAGTTGCTGACAGCTCACTTGGACTAGTGTCTGTCTTTGACTGCTGTGGATTCAGCATTTGAGTTACTACCCAAGATTGGTGTCACTTGGGTGCACGGTTTGAAGGTGAGGACACAGACCTCTGGAGAGAACACATATGTAGTTTTCATGGGTGAGGCACCCAGAACCCAGAGCCTGCATTATTAACCCTGTGCGGCTACCCAGAGGGTTACTGGACAAGGCAGAAACAGACAACTTTAAAAGCAGGGGGCACGTGGAGAGAGATCCTGGAACCAAAGAACAGCAAGAGCTGAGGTGGTTGGGAATGACACTGAATACTCATGAAAAGGCCAGTGGGCTGTGCCTTCGGGCGCCCCATAGCCATGGATATGAAGGCAAGTCACCACCAGGTGCTAGAGTGGCCCAGGGAAGACTCTACTCAGCCAGGGGTGAGCCTTGCACCCTACTCTCATGACCTGAGTCTGACCTCACGAATCGGGGGGAACTTGTCATCTCCAGATGAGCTCTGAATTGATGCTTCAAGGGGCCTTTGCATCATAAAGACAGAAGAGAACCCCTACTTCACTTCTGAAATAAACATCTACTTTTTGCTTCATAGGAGCTGGTGATGGTTGTTCTCAAGGAAGACTGACCCGGACACCCTCAGATCCCTCCTCATCTAATGGTCTGTTCTTGTTGACTCTGACTGCTGAGGTCTTGTCTCATTTCATCATGTGCTTTGGACCATCTGCTTGTGTTACTGACTGTCCAGAATGCACCTGTCATATCTCCAAGTTCAGGGTTTAAACGCCAGAGTCTGTCCTCTGGATTGCTTGGGAGGGTTTCTGTACCTGTCTGTTTAATTCATTAATGCACTTAACTAAAAACTGCAGCTTATTTTATTTATTTATTCATGTTTATTTGTATTGGTGTTTTGCTTGCATATATGTTTGTGCATCATGTGCACGCAGAATCCTTAAGGCCAGAAGGTAGCTTCAAATCTCTGTAACTGGAGTTACAGGTGGTTGTTAGCTACTATGTGGGTGCTCAGAACTGAACCCAGGTCTTCTGGAAGAGCAGTCAATGCTCTTAACTCCTGGGTCATCTCTCTACCACCACATTTCAGGTTCTTATTCATAATGTCACAGTGTCATGTTAATGAAAGTACATTGTTGTCTAGGGGCCATCCAATCTGGAAGTAGAAAAAGACTGTCAGAGTCTGCATGGGACACGAATACAGACCATTCGGTTTTCCGTCTATGTGAGTCTCATCGAATCAACTGTGAACGCGCCCAAGCAGGTGAGGCTGGGACAGTCTGGTATCTGCATGGGTGAAGGGTGGCAGGTGTCTGCACATATCCAAGAGCAGTGGAGGTGTCTTTGCTGTTCCACATGATCAGTGTTTAAAGACAAAGCTCCAATCACAGCAGAATGGACCAGTGTCCGCAGCAAGGGGACAGTGACATAAGTGAATGTCGTATCTGATGGTTTCTCTGGCGAGGACAATCATAGAAACAGAGGCTGGGATACAGCAGTGAAGGAGAAACAGAGACAGTGATGAATGAACTGGAGAGTCCCACTGGCGGGGAAGGAGAGGCAGAAATGGGGGTGACTCTAGAAGCTGATGGAGCCAAAATGCACCACCACCTCCTTGTGGGAGAAGCCACAGTACCTGTAGATGGAACCCCAGAGGAAGCTGGGGAGACAGAAAGAGCGCCAAGACAGGGAGGTGAGCAGGGCTTACTGGGGGAGAGTGGTGTGTGTGTGTGTGGTCCTTGGAGGGCAGAATTTTCTCACTGTGTCTTCAAACACCCGAGCTCAGGATGGTCACATTTTCCCAGCCATGGCTCCTGGGACCCCTCTCTTTTTCTGCCTCTTCAGTTCCCAGTAAACCTAATGCTCCCCCAACTCTAAAAGGAGGGAAGGTCAGACAAACCCCCTTCCTGCATCCACATGAGGGACACGGCTTGGATTGGGTTGATTATCATTTTTAAAAATTACTTGGTTATTTTTATTATTGTCTGTGTGGACAATGCATGTGTGCGTGTGTGTGTGTGTGTGTGTGTGTGTGTGTGTGTGTGTGTGTGTACATGTTAGTACAGCACGTGTGTGGAGGTCAGATGACAGTTTGCAGAGATCAGTTCTCTTTTCCAGTGGGTTCCAGGGATTTGACTCAACTCACAAGCAGGCTTGTGCAGCAAGTGATTCACTCCCTGGGCAATCATACAAGCCCAAATCTCACATTCTAGATGACTTGTGTATTAGACCATTATGTGGAGGGGGGAGATACTTGTTTTCCCCTCACTCACCCCTTGCCTGTTTCACACACCTGAGCCAGCTTCTGGCCGCATCCTAAGATATGAGGGAGGCAAGTTAGCTGAGGCCGGGGAGATGCTAGAAGCCCTGAAATCTGGTCCCTCGTAGGCTCTTGCTTGCTGTTGTCTGCTTGCCGCTCTCATCCTGCCTGGAGGGAAGGGACAGAGGGACCCACATAGAGGATGAGGATAGAAAACATAGATGAACCATCAAGTAGTGAGTTACAGAGGTGAGTCCGGCCTTGCTTTTCCAGCTTGGCAGGCGTTGGTATGGAGGTTCTCTCTATCCTGGGTGACTGAAGTCACCACTGAAGCGTGAAAGTCTGGATGATCCTCAGACTCACAAGTAAGAAAGATCACAGTAGAAGACGGGAGGGGTGGGACTCTGTGGGTGTGACAGAACAGGAAGAGCCCAGCCTTTCCTGTGTGTGTGTGTGTGTCCCCGTCCTGATTACCTCTGTTTCTTGAATACAGGATGTTTTTAGGTGTGATACTGAAACTGCTTGGGGTGGGGAAGCTGGAGCCATAACTTTGACCGACAGCAACCAGCACCACCCTGCCGAAGGCCTAAACAGCCATGATAGCCCAGCCTATGAGTAGGATTCAGAACCAGGCATCATCACTGCTGCCCCTGTACCTGGCAGGGCCATCATCCTGGCAGCTGCGTCTGCTCCAGCCTCTGTGGCTGCTGGGGCAACCCTGTTGCCATAACAACCATTAACTTCCGTCCTCGGAGTCTACCACTCCAGCTGCCACTCTGGATGTCCTGCTTCAGCCCAGATTGAGTGGCCAGCTGCTGTAGCCACTTGAGCAGCTGCCTTCACAACTTCTCAGCTTAGACAACTTATTCAGTTGCCAAGGCAACCCCTGCAACCAGCTGCTGGCATGGCCCTGTGGCGTGAGGACAGGTGGCCAGCCTCCTTTCTGACTTGAGGTGGATTTTCCTATAGCCTCTTTCGGGGAGCACAGACCTGCCTTCTCAGCTCAGGAATCTCAAGTGTAGTGCATCAAACTGAGCACAGCCTCTTCTTCACAAACTTCCCTCCCTTCAACTCCTCTTCCTTCTTTGCTGAAGATCCTTCTTGCTAAGGTGGACACGTGCCCAGGGCTTCAGCAGGAGCCCCAGGAGTCCTTTTAGCCCTGCTCTGTGAACATGACCTGACCTGAATGTAACATAAGGTCTGCCACATAATAGCACTATTTCTGTACCCGGAACTTGGACATGCATTTTGGTGCCATGATAATCCTGGTGTTTAAATCCTGGTGGAAAACTTCAGGGCCAGCAAGATGGCACACCAGGAAAGGCACCTGCCATCATGCCTGGTGACCTGGGTTCAATCCTTGAAACCCACATGGTGAAAATTGAGAACTGGCTCCTGAGGGTTGTCCTCTGACCTCCACATGCGCTCACACAAGCACTCAAGCACACAGGCATGCATTCAAGCATGCAAGCAAGCATGCATGCATGCAAGCATGCACCCGCACACACATGAAATACAAAATTAACAAAAGTTGAAAACAACAAAAACAGAACTACATTTATGCAGATAGGTACCCAAACCCACAGATGTTCAAATCTTTAATGTAACCTACACACATTCTCTTATTTATTTTCATCATTTCTAGATTGCTGACACTATATAATACAAATATAATATGAATAGTTGCCTTGTTCCATTGTTTAGGGGACAGTGACAAGAAGTAAATGTGTTCATGCTCAGTACAGATGTAATACATTTTTCCAAGTGTTTCTGATGGTGGTTGGTTGAGTCTTTGGATACAGAACCTGAGGTTGGGACAGTCCTAAGAATTAAGTTGAGAGCATCAGGTCTTTTGTTTTCTTTCTTTCTTTCTTTCTTTCTTTCTTTCTTTCTTTCTTTCTTTCTTTCTTTCTTTCTTTCTTTCTTTCTTTCTTTCTTTCTTTCTTTCTTTC